TATATACATACATACATATATACATATATATTCATTGTCTGAATCTCTACTCATGCCACATATGCAACAAACTAATGGAACCGCAATCGTCGCGCGGCTCTGTTGCTCTGCGCGTGCACGCACATTTTTTATCTCAATGAGATATTCATTTGGCATTTGCTACGCAAGTGAGGCGCTATATGTCATCATATATACGATTTATTGATAAATACCTCATCTGCCCACCGTGATGTACCTCATACAGGTACTAAGCTCAATATAATTTAATATTCCTACCTTGTAGTCTATGTTTATTCTCACGTTGTCGAAAATTTCTATCGGCATTTGGTGTATGCATTGCTTTTATCAGTCACCTATGTTAGAAGTAACTAACTTCCCGGGTATTGACAATCGACAGTCAGACAGGTCGATCTCACCGACATATACAGTATACTTCGAATTAGACAACCGTTCTGGCGCCCTTGCCAGATCCTTGGCGACAAGATTATCTCGAGGCACAATAGATAATCTCTCCGACGAGATCGCAAGTATATATATATATATATATTATCATCATAACATTGAAAATGAGGGCCTCTTTTTCAAGTTAAATTGAAAGCGAGCACGCACTTATGGATTTCCACAAATGATACACGATGACATAACGGTAGGTATCATAGTACGCCTGACAGACAGACTGCATCTCATATTTTCTTCCGCATTAAAAGTCCGGCATCGTACAGGCAAGTGACCACCTCAAACACATCATCTGCTGACGCAGGTCTTGTGCCCGCTTGCATTAACTCATTGCCGTCTCCATTGTCCATCTCATCGTCCTCTTTGGACATGTCAATCTGTAGACCAAAAGCATCACCAACACGAACGTATCCATCCGATTCGCTCTGTAAGAAAAATTCAACAATGGGTCCGTACGCAGAATGAAAATTCAGTGTCTGCGGTGGGTACTCACGGCACTTCCCATTCTCCAAAATATGGTAAACGGTAGCAAACTTGCCCTCTTGTACGATGCGTGAAACATGCTCTCTCACCACACACACACAAGTTTCCTCAGTTATATCATGATTCTCCGGCTCCGGCAAGGATTTCACATCGCATCCAGCATGTACACCTGTGTGCACACCCGCGGCTGATGTGTGTTGTACTTGTTGCCTGGTGAGCAAAGGAGGTACAGATTCGGTCATCACATGCACAGCCAACTCATCCGCAGCCTGATCCAGTTCTTCCACCATTGCCACACCCAGATTCGCCCAAAGGGATCGAAATTTCTGCACAAATTCAGCTCTACCCGCCACCTTACTGGGGTTTTCACTTTCACTCATCGCCACACCCATATATTTTAAAAATCCCAGAGGCAGGCCTGTTCTGAAGCTTGGGTCCATAGCCAATGCGTTCGACAGCACGTGGGGTACTGCTTTTTCCATGAAGGTAGCCCAGCTATGATTCTGGTATGTTGACACGGTCACATGCGTGGAATCCTCATCTGTCAAGTTCAATTGGGCAACGCAAGTAAGAATAGGCGAGGTTCACGCGTAAAATCGAGCGCTAAATAATTATATTATATAAATAGATTATATATCACCCACATGAATCGTGCACGAGTTGATTTTCTTGTATTCTAGCGAATAATACTCGCTCGATAAGGGCGACGTTGGTATTGATCTAGAACGACCATAGTTTACACGACTTCCTGCCCTATCAACAGTGTACTTTTCACTGCCCGACAAGGCAATTACTGTAGCAATTTAGGAAGGGAGCATCAGTAATAAAAGCTATCTAATGTAGATAGTCTGGCGTCAACTCCACTATCGAAACGATGTCTCATAGCTCTACAGTGCGGGATGTAACCACGAGTATTGCGCCAGCTAATAAGACGTCAGTGACATGTTTAGTGACACGTTTCCCCACAAAACGAGATAGTAACTTGACTGACATGTATCTGTCTTACAGCATGCGTACGAATGTCGTCATCAGTACAAAAAATGAGACGGCAAATCTGCTATGTGTTCAAATCGCGCCCGGGCATCAAAAAGACAAATTGGCATCAAAGCTTGCGAAGCTGCACAAGCGGTGCCATCAGACGTCTCGGGAGCGTGTATACTGAAACGAAAATTAACGCATGGCGGCGATTTCCACGCTCTTAAACCTGTACAGCACAATACGATATATCATCACAAAAAAGCAACGAAACAAAAGGTATCGCAACCCCCCCCCCCCCAAATATCTACAGAGGATGTCGAAACATAATATCTTCAATAAGCTCACATACCTGTAGCATTTGCTTGGTGTACCCAACCCCGGGGGAAATAGATCATGTCCCCCGCATGAAGGACAGTATCGATCACAGGTACACGTCCCTCCATACTAGCGGCTGTGTAATTAGAAGAAGAATGGCGCGGCAAGAATTCTTCCTCGCTCTCGGGAGCGTATACTCGCCAACGCTTGCTACCCTCCGTTTGCAATACAAAAGCTTCAATGTCGTCGAAGTGTGGTGCGAATCCCTATAAAACATGAAGAAACATTAAACCATTCAGTCGCTAAATTGTTTTATACATTGCCTGTTACTGTCAAGCACGAAAGGAAATTATCAGAATCAGGGTGTGGAATCCTCATCCAAATGATAGAACACCAAACAAGTGAGCCGAGACTCGAGAAACTAACGAATGTACAGCGGGCTACTCTTTTGCTTGAGAACCACGAGCGGGCGGATTACAACGACAACTCGCACTATGTTCACATGCAGACGAAGGTATACACGAGGGTACTCAGTATAAACCTCTCGTTCGCATCCATCACATTCAATGTTACATGCATACTGTTGAAATCAATAGAAATAAAAGCTGAAGTATACATGAGATGTTTCTTGTATTAGGTGTAATATCCATATCTGCGGTAGCAAGTGAATCCATTTATCACACATCATTCATGGTGTGAAAAGCGTTCTTGCACATGAACACTTACATATGGAATAGTGATCTGAGTAGGTAAAAATTCAACCATGAAAATTCTGAACAGTTGAACGAGACTGGACGAGACGGGCATGCATACACATCATTTCGGACATGAAGCAACACAGTCAAAACAGCACAAGCGTGGATTGCCAAACAAAATCATTGAGATTGTGGAACATCAACAATGAATAATGCTGACACGACAAATTCCGGCTTGACTATACAGTTGGCGATATGATAAATGTACGGATATACAGCAAAGTAAAGTGCAACATCCCTCTACTCGTACAAATTAACGCAACACTTTAAGGGATTGATCTAATCGAACATGCTACACTCGTGGTATCCTCGTGAAAATCTTATTTACAGATAATTATATTGTTTTATTGACATAATAATTTTATGAACGAAAATACGCAGGAGGACTAATGACCCGGTCACAGAAAAAAACAGAAGCAATTAGTGTGTCGCAATCGAATTCTTGCATACCAATGTATTTCCTACCAAACTGCGAATGTAATAAGAAACGAACTTCAAGTGACACACCTGTGTAGTTTGATTCGACCACCCTACAACCCTGTGCACACATATTTTAGACATCATACTTCAATAATAAGTTCCATTTTACAGCCTTTATACATGGTACAATATCACAATAATCAATGGAAAAGAACTTGCAGCTTTGCAAGACAGGTATAATCGTTATAAATCTAGACACGCAAATACAAAAAAAATTAATGAACTTAAACATAAGATATATATATATATATATGAAAGTAGAAGTGCTTATAAACTAATACCCAATATATATATATATATATATAGTTATAAACATATAACATATCTTGCATACATACATTATTACATAACTACACATACACACGTATATATGTATATATATATAGATATAGATATATAAAAATAATAGAAATATAAACAAACGAACGCACACACACACACACACACACATATATATATATATATTATAGTTTACGAGAATACACATGAATTCATATATGCATACATGCATATCTTAATATCATCAGTACCTCACTTCAAATCGTACGTTCACAATGTCATAGCAAACCTCCAATGCAGATACACTTTGGTCCGATTCCGAAGAAATGCTCATACGCGAACATGATACATATATGGCTGAAAGCCCCGGAGGCGTGAATTGCACACCTGAGTATTCTTGGGCGTGAAGTACACATTTGCTCCCATGCCGCAGAGGAAGAAATTCTGTAGAATCGATAGCATGCGCCATACAGGCTCATGGAAAGATTGAGGATTCAGCATTCGGATCGAACAGCCACTCTCATAAAAATCCCACACACATCCAGGGTAAGCTCTACCCTGAGGCGTGAGTGTTGATCTCACTCCATCAACACAGCTGGTAACATCTAAATTTATGCCAAATCGCACCACATCCTGGCGCAGGATTTTGTCCAAGTCTCCTTTACTGAAGTATTCAGCGAAATCATTACCAGTACCATTTGAGGATCGTTTCACATGCAAAGGTTTCTGTTCCCAGTAGTCTTCAAAGAATTCGATAGCGCTTACATCACTTCCGATCATCCACTGAAAGTAGTCTTCCGAATTGGTATCTGCGGCGTGCGAGGTTGAAGCGAGGATCTCGCTTTTTTTAAGATGTGAAGATGTATTTATGCTATTATTTGACTTGTGCGCCCCACTCGTAAGCTTATCAGAACCGTGCTTGCCTGGCGTTTGTGCCTGTATACCGGTCTTAGTGAAGACTTTTGCAGACTTCACATCTTGCAGTGATGGCTTTATGCTAACATTCTTCCTGCTCGAACCAATTTGACTGCGGGCTAAAACGGATACCTTCTTGCCATGTTTTTTCGCCATGGTTCCTACCAACACTCACTGTAGCTGCTATCAAGAGATGTGTATTACGGTTCGTCTCGTTATGTTCTTAATATTGTAAACTTACTAAGATCTGAAATAGGCTATTATCCTCGTGTACGGTGTATGATAATACTAGCAAACTGTCCAATCCTGCCAAATCTGGGGTCTTGGGCATCGCCCGCTTTTTTGTCCAATTGCCCATTTTTAGTTGGTCTACTCACTAATACTGCTGATTAAATTGATCAGTGACTCATTCAGTGACAGCGTTATTTATTTATCTCATTTCGAAATCTGGGATGAGAGTTGTACATAATTGGATAGACAAATATTTTATTTGTAAATATGTATGTATCCTCGGGTCCTCTCTCTCTCTACTGAGTAGAACAAAGTTTCTTTATGGTCTCTATTTTATGTTTATAACTGATAAATAAAGTGTGTAAGCCGAACATAACGCGGTCCACTTTAAAATGGGTATGTGCAAGACAATCGGTCCGGTCGATTAGGATGATTAGCCACCATTGCTGTTTGCTATTTGCCTCGAGCAGCAATTGCAATAGTTGCATTGCCATGCAAGAGGTTATTTCTAAATTGCTGAACGTCGGAGTGGGACACAACTATACCTGAGAAATAACACTATATCGTGATCTTATGTATAACATTCATGACCCTATCAAATAATTGCGCTAGTTACGATTCTATGAACAACGTACAGTAATTTTTAATCACTAAGCTCAACTTGGACTGTGCATCCATTTTAAGCTGTGTATTTTTGATGTGCTGACCGCTACGAGTATATACAGCTGTCACGCTACCTGATTCGCTTGCACGTCTTTATCTTGTCTAATTATTGTGCGTTCGAGCTCATCTTCTGTAGCGATATGCATTACGCACACCAATACTGTACTTCATTCTCGAAACGTCAGCCCTTTTTTTTAAGCGTTACAACCACTTTCACTGATCCTACGCCAGGATATTGTATATCTAACAAGAATGTGTCGCTTCGCCTGCAGCAAGTACGTCGTCGAAAGCAAGGGCTGGGAATGACCCTGTGATACCCTCACAGCTGAGGAGTAGAACACACAATCCAGACGAGACGTATGTAGCAATATGTGAAAAACAGGGAATCAAGCCGAATGCTGCTGTCAGAGTCGCTCTGAATAATGAATTTGTGAAAGTCTTAGAGATTTTTCCAGACCAGTTTGAAGTCTCAGAGCTACCAGCATTGGGTACGTGCACTTGATTGGTATATCCAGCTTTTTGGCCAGCATAGCAACTACACTAGCGTTCGTGGCTTCAGCTCGTTTTCACCAATCCGTCACTGTCACAAAATCAATTCGATTTTTATACACTCTGATTGGGTTCGAATATTATTTGATAGTCTTCCTTTGAACTTTATGTTGTGATCTGCTGCCGTATATCTGTTAGCGTACAATAATTTTCTAAGTATGTGGGCGGATGAAACTCATCGACCAATACATGAGATGTTAGCGCTTACCTCTACAGCCTCCATACGGATCATGCGTGTTCATTATACACGTAACTTCTATCTACTATTTTGACACACGCATTTTTCGTCACATGGTGAACTCGTGAGAAAACTATATTTTATTATTCCGCAGGCGAAATTCTGAAGCACGATACCAAGATCGAGTACGTGAAGATGCCAAACTGCCAATTAGGCGCAACTCTATGCTATGGTATGTACCGCTATTAGGATTTAGAACCCGTCTTAAAATTTTCATTCTTTTCTCTAAATGGACACCTTTGGACCCATACATTGCTCCTGTTGAAGTTGAATCTTTGTCGCAGTGTATAGTTCTCAACATGAAACGCCATTGGACTTCGTAGAAACGTGTATTCTGTCTTTAGTGGATGCATGATAGTTCTATCGGGAAGAGACAAACGTGTATCCTGTCTTAAATGGATGCACTATGGTTGTAATTGGAGGAGATTGTTTGAGTGTCATTTTTTGCGTGATGCATATCGTAGCCAACTGTGACGCCAACATGAATGATTTGGCAGTTCTTGCCGTTCCAACCCCAATTGGCTTATCAAATTCATTTGTGGCATCACATATCTCGTTTACGACGACATTCTTTTCTTGCTGATCTTAAATCGTCGCATATAGTTAACGCATCTTTCAATTGATGTTGCATGTATTATGGGGATATCAGTTTGATGGTCGATGCTGTCTAAAAAAAATATTATCGCATGCATTCAGGCATATTATGTTCGTATTTGGGTTGGGATTGTCAGGATAATCTCCGCTAATTGAAATTATTTTGCAAAGCAGTTTTTGCTGGAGTTCTAAAAACCAACAGAACTATCAAGAAATTGGATTTTAGTTACAATCGACTATCACCGGTGGCCTCGAAAGAACTTCTTCGAGCAGTAGCTGGTAAGTCTGTACGTGTGAATTGCGTGTAAAAGCTTGTTTTTGAGGTTTCTCTCTCTCGCAGTTTTGGGTGGGGAAATGTCGGTTGGATCGTTGTATGGAAGCTACCTGTATCGCCATCGTCGAACTGTTCTCAACGATGTGTTGTTAAAGAGTCTGATGGAATGGGTAGTCGCACATTTAATTATAGAGGCCACGGTAAGATACCTTGTGCTATTCTAGGTCAAAGTTGCAACATCTAAAGTATCATCGTTTGTATCTGCTCAACGTCATTGTTGTCTCGAATTAGAATAGGTTGCCTTTTCGTTGGACTTTTGAATCGGAAATCCGTCATTCGGATTCTAGATTATCAATCACCAATACTTGGGGAACCTTTGAAGTGTGTGTTCAGAATGAGAGTCCTGTATTTTCAAGGATAGTAGATAATTTTCTGATATATTGACAAACTACACCCCCTCACGTACAATATTATAGATAATCCGGTTATTGAACATATCAGGCTTCGAGGCAATCATCTTACGGAACACATATGCCAAGAGATAGCAGGGGTATGTTGGTGGTTGAAGAATTAAGAATAGTTATTCATATCTATTCTCGGTGAATGCGTTCCTGTGTTGTTACCGACGTTTGTTGGTCATTCAATTATCATGTAGTTATCGAAGGATTTCGTTGCCTTTTGTTTGTGGTGTGTCTATTCTGTACGCATTCTGCTATACCCGAATTTTATTAGGTACTTCGTGTCGTAATGTTCGGTTCTCTTTTGTTTGGTGAGATGGTTGTGGGCCACCAGTGACTCACCATTCTATCCTATTCGATCTATTGTGAGGGTCTGAAATTTGCTCTTGAATTAAAGATACATACACTCGAATGACTTGCTGCGTCGGTGATGCGAGCAAAATTTCATAGAAATATTGCTTCTAGATATGCGGGAGGGCTTTAGAATGTGGACTAAATATGTACTCACAGTGTTCACGCATGGAGCCACGACTTCAGCTGCGTTTGTGGACTATTGAGGCACATATCAGTAGTAAGCAATCCCGTTATTTGCACAACCTACAGGAGCTCGAGAGAAACATAACATTAAAACATCTAGATATAACAAACAATGACATGGACATGAGTGGAGTAGTACTGTTGATAAATGCGATGCCGGAATGTGATGTGGAGTATGAAGGAAACTTCTGGGCTGCTGAGATCGCTAATAGGTGTGGACAGTGCGAATAGTTGTTTGATCGAAAGCGGGTTTACTATCCAATGTAATATAGGCTACACTTGCTTGTATTGTAATGAGTGTTAGATTTCAGTGGAGATAACTGCCACTAAGGAGTGCTACACATTTAATGATAGCATGCTGCAAACATGTTCTTCTATTGCCTGCGTGTCGTTCTGTGGTGCACCGCGCGTGTGTGGTGCGTGCAGTCGGTGTCGTTGGATGAATATATTAGTTATTGCTTATGCGTGGTTGAGTTAAGGCGCTGCACGAGCGAGGACATTGACGTTTACGTATACTTCGCAACACAGTACGTGTAGTTAATTTTTATTTATCACCTACTCGCTATTTGAATGGTTGACGTGTCAAAGGTTGACTTGGATAACTTGTTGTGGTGTACTTCCTGGAGTTCCTTGGAACTATGCCAAAACATTTAAGAATCTATCAAATGCCGCTCTGGGATTTGTTAGTATGTCTACGCTAGGGAGAGTGCGATTGTCGATATTCTCAGGTTGAAATGCTCGGAAAGAGTCTTAATTAGTGCTCTTGGAAGTTTTGGCTGTTTTATGTAATATGGGTGTCTAGTAACCGATTGCAGTCGTATTACAATTCTAGAACGTTTTCTACATCATATCGTTGTGTAGATGTCTGTTATATTCAGCACAGTCACTTGTAACAATATGACAGATGTCACTGAGGTGTTCACACTAGATGATTGTTATACGTCGTGTTGCTCAGCGTGCTGCGAGTCAAGGCCGTAAGACTGCAATTGTGAATGTCTTATCGTTTTATTCATCGACATTACTCACCGATATGAAAATCTTCAAATATATTGAGTGGTCGTGGTTATTTTATTTCACCGTTACCTTCTCCCCACAATTAGAATTGTATTGTCATGATTGATTCCATTTATTAAATCTCAGCATAAGCCACGGCCTGGGGATAGTTCTCAGTTTCATCGGTGGATATTATCTTATTAAAGAGGCGTCACGACCTGTTCATCCCACGATCTACCTTGTCTCTTGCTGGATTTTCCTTTCTTCGCTCGTGGCCTTGTATACTTGCTCGACTCTGGCCCATTCCTTTCATCGCATGAAAATCACCGGAAGAATGTTTGTGGTATGTTTGCGGGTACATGTACTGTGGTTTGCAGTTGAGCGAATGTCTATATGAATGTTTTGTATCTATTGTATTGACTTACAGTTACACAGTGTATTGTCTGTGTAGTATATAGCCTACCTTGTGGATGTAATGTCTCTATTGTATTGACTTACAGTTACACAGTGTAATGTCTGTGTAGTATATAGCCTAACTTGTGGATGTAATGCATCTATTGTATTGACTTACAGTTGGCAATCATTTTCCAATAATATAATTTGCACACAAATATATTCTGAGTCGTTTGTGTTCATTTAATTGCCTCGTGCATATATCAAGCTTGTATCTGTTTCTCACATACGTCTTCTATTGCTTTGAAGAAGATCAGAGAACTACATGGATATGTTTGCGAGCATTTCTTCGTACACATATATACATAGTCATATCGTTCTGTATATTCGTCTGCATATTGTAACTGTGTACATACATACATACATACATACAACTTATGTAGTGTACATATATATGTATAAGTATATATATATATATATATATATCGATATCTATATATATATATATATATATACGTGTACATATACACACACACGCACACACACACACACACACACACA